ACCAAGTCAAAAGAGGTGTGCATAACATTAAATTTCCTTCCACTTGGTGCCATTGGTAAATACCTGAGTAGGCAGAGTAGGACATTCTGGAATTTACAACTGTCTTCGTGTTCATGTTTAATTAGAGGAGAAAAGCAACCTTAGCTTCTCAGTAACCAGAGTTTTGGGATTCTGAGAGTCTTCCTTAACATAAGAAAATCCCTTTGGAATCTTCTTTATCTCTTTCCCCCAAATGCATATTGGCCATCATCCTCCATGCATGTCCCACATTGATACAGATCTGCAGGGATCTGTATCCGTCCAAGGTTTCACTCAACAGTAGTAAGTGATATCATCACACCAGCCGGGCCCTCAAGGTCCTGGGAACCTTGCTTTCAGCTTCCTTTGTGATGGCTGCGCTCCTGAGCCACTCACTGTTTTAGTGCAGACTGAGTTCCTCCTCACACCCCAGTGCAGCGCCTCTGACCCGTGGGACCTGTGCCTGTGCATCATCAGGAAGACCACAGCTTTGACACCAAAGACATCTCAGTAATTTTTTCTTCATCATTCACTCCCGCACCCCAATATTTCACATCAGAAATATCTCATAATTCCTTCTGGAACATTGGTTCTTCTCCTGTACACCTACAGTGTGCACTGGACAAGGAGCACTCTCACCTCTCTGTAGTTGGTAGGGTTGACTTCTGGGAGTGGAGGTTGTCACTCAGTCCTGCCCTCTGTCTCATGGGTTTTTCTTTTATTCCACACTCATGTCCTGGAGCAGGGAAAGTCAGGTCTTGGGTTTAGCTGGTGAAATTAACTCCCTCTTTCATGTTAGGGACCATCGTGAACTGTGTCAATGGCCACTTGGTGACTGTGGTATTTATTGCAGGGACAGCTGACCTTCAGGGATGTGGCCATAGAACTCTCTCAGGAGGAGTGGGGACGCCTGACCCACACTCAGCGGCAACTGTACAGGGATGTGATGTTGGAGAACTATGGACACCTCTGCTTCTTGGGTGAGGAAGACTCCTTCCAGATTCCCGAAACCACATTCTGGGTTTTCTCCTTCCTGTGAACATTGTCTCTTGGACAATTCCTGTTTGAATAACTGGAATTCAGATCCAGACAGAGAGGGGAGGTACATGTAGAGAAAAGTCCTGGGGTACATGTAGAGAAAAGTCTGGGGTACATGTAGAGAAAAGTCCTCATCATGTGTCTTTTTCAACTTTAGCTTCTCAAGGTAATACCCCCACTTCTGTAGATGAGTTGCAATTCTAAACACTTAGTGGCAGAGAATGGTGCTGCTCACATGTTTAACTGAAATTTTCCCTTCTTACTATGTCTAGTGCTTGGAAGTGGAGGTCAGGATGTGAACGTTGGAAATGCCTCCTCAGTGTTATAAAGGGACTGTTGGGCAACAGCTTGTGGAAACCATTTTCTAGAATTGTACAATATCCTCTCTTCTGTGCTGAACACAATCCTGATGGGAAGGTAGAATGTCTGGCAATACTCGTTTTCCTTTTTCCTTGTAAACAGGTCTCACTGTGTCAAAGCCAGACCTGATCACTTTTTTGGAGCCAGAGAAGCAGCTCTGGGATATGAAGAGAAAGGAGACCATAGGCTTCCATCCAGGTAGGTGGGAATGAATGAGGCAGATGACAGAGGGGAGGTCCAAGTCTGAAGGAGGAACATAGACCTTAAGCTATGGTTCCACTAGCTGTGCTTGAATGAAAATCAGTTGTAGACATGCCTGGTTTCATTTCTTTCATGCCCGGTTTTATCTCTCTCATGTGGGATATCTACTCTCCCACATTATCAAGCTCTTGCATCCTCTAGGGATTCTCCTTCAGCTCCAGTGATGGTCTGCCACATCCACAGGAAGGGCCAGGAGACTCTCCTTGGAGGGGGAAGGCCCCCCCTAGTCTGAGAGATTTTCCATTGCTTTGAGGGCCCTCCAAAGCTTTGAGGGCCCTGGAAGTCATCCTATTTCTAGGATGCTATGGCCTTGGTCAATTCTGGCTTTCATCATGAGACGAGTAGGTCAGGGTAGTTGTATGCACACTGGGTTTTGGTGCAGAAATTCCCAGAACACTGGAGACAGATTTCTAATGTTTCCTGGCTTATGCTTTCTAATGTTATGGAGGCTTTAATCTTATTCTTAGAAAATTGACATTCAGTAACTTCATCAGATAACAAAGCACCTCCCTAAAATGAGACAATGTGCAGTTCTACTTGCCCTCTCTGTGTTCATTCCTCAGTGGTGAAATAATGCAATGTTTCTGTTTCCTAGCCTTCTCACATAAATAATGTTATTGGGGGACTAGCACATTTAGAACTCAGAACTTGGAACCTTTAATAAAGTCTCACTATGTAAGTCAAAAAAGGATAAGCTTTATGCTTTTTGCCAATAAAATTGTATGTATTTGATTGTGTTTGTGTATCATTCATACATGCTCTGTGATTCCTACTGTTAATTTTTCTCCCTGGGGAGTGGTCAGTGAATGTTATACTATGTCTAGGTGAGTTGTCATCAACATAGAATTAATTTCATCATGGATTTGTGGGTGAATTGTTTTCTTTCTACATGAGAGAAAAAAGTTTCTGGAATTGAAAGTAATTTTGAAATATCTTCTACCTCTGTTTCATGTTTTGTTGGAAAATAAGAAAGATTTATTTTATCTTTAATTACACCATGATGTGCCTTGGTACCTTTCTCATTAACTTTTGTGTCTTTTGTGAGTATTTTCATTGTGGTTACCTTAGAGATTCCTTAAAACAACT